TACAAAGTGTAAATTTTGATAAACATTTTAAATGTCATAAAATTGTACCAAATTATTATTCACTTGACCAAAAAAAAACTATAACCAGCTGTTGTTTTTATTTTTCAAATTGTATCTCTTTCCAAATGTAACTAGTAATACCTTTTTATCAGCCCTTAGGTTCTGGAGCCATTTTGTTGCGATTTGCTTATAATTTTAAACAAATCAAAAGCAAAGAATGTCTCAGGGCTAAAAACTAATTTTTATTTATTTATTTTTTATTATAAACGTGGCTTTAAAGTATCTTCTGCTAGTTCTATTTAAAAAAAGATCAACAAAAAAAAATAGACAATCAATTCTGATATTAAAACAATTGTCCTTTATTTAAACATATATCCAATTAATTTAAATTTCCATTGCGGATAAATGTTACACCATATACTATAAATAGAATAACAAATAATCAATCATCCATTAAATCAGACATCCCTTAATGCTCAATAAAATTAAATACACATATTTCTAAACTATTAATATAAAAATTTTAGAAATAATTATTGGTTTCTTGACTTCTTCCTGGATCCTACCAATTTCTCTGCTTTCTATTTCGCCTACTGTTTCTTTTGACAATAAAAGAAATAAGACCAACAGTATGTGAAAATGTCGTGATGTCGTTCCCACAAGCTTCAAACTCCAATACAAACAAACTGCTTCCTCTCAGACACAACGAAAATATATCTGTTTGTACTTACAGTAATGCCTCTATTTCTACTGGAAATCGTCTTTATTTACCACAATGGCTGCTTAATTTTTCACACAAACGCTAACCACTACTTCTTATAAATTCTCCAAAAACTTCCAGCAATTCCAATTTTTTTTAAAAAGCAATAGTGACAGTGACATTTCTAATAAATGTCATAATTAAATTGTCTTTTTATTGGAGAAAAACTTTATAGCTCACTTATTTACATATTCGGAACCCACTCACGTTGTTCTCGATAAATTGTTTGTGATTTTACAACTAAACATGATTTAACAACTAAACTATTTCTATATACAGGGTGTTCTCGATTTTTCTTTAATGGTCTTTTAATTTTTAATTTTATTTAAAATTTGGGGGTCTTATTAATATATATATATATATATATATATATATATATATATATATATATATATATATATATACAGTGTAGGTAAAAGTTTATGGTCGGTATGGTAAAATCATCGAGCAAAAAGATAAAAGAGGGAATGTAAAGGTAGTGGGGACAAAAATATTGTTAGACAGGAAGTGCTATCTTGAGAGGCCACTTTAAACAAGGATAGACAGTCTCTTTCCTTGTTTAATAAGTCAAATTTAGTTTGGTTATGTTATTGTTTGTCCCAACTGTCACATGAAATTTTATTTATATTGAAGTTTTTTACCAATTGTGTCACTTTTTAGACTATTATTGTTAATATTTAATTAAAAGTTTCTTGTCTGAAAAATATTTTACAGCTATTGTTAACAAGTGTTTCAGAGGCCACTTTTTTGGTCTCCTTTTCATAACGATTAGATTCCCTCTTTTATCTTTTTGCTCGATGGGTAAAATTTAACAGGATATCTAACGCAGATATAAAATCATATTTTCAGCGAATAGACAAAGATAACAATCATATTTCCCCTTCGTCTCCCCTCCTAAAATCTTTTTAACACTCATTGGCCATTGCCCACTAGTGAGACGATTAGATCCGATCAGATATTCTCTGGTTCCAACCCAATACACCTAAAAAACTAGAGGTGGGTCCTCTCGTTTTTTTAATTTTTATCGGAACCGTTTTTCGTAAATTGTAACTAGTTGATTGTTTACCAGTATTCAAATTAGCGAGTACACAAACATATTGGCTATAATCGTTTATGTGTATAAGTATTGAAATGAAAGAACCTAACGAAAGATATATTTATTGTAGCTTGAAAAATAAATTAAACAATACAAATAGTACTTAAATACTTACATTTACATTACACATTATTAAATCGCGAATCGTCTAAATTGACATTTAAAAACATAAGTTTTTCCACTTTTCTTGTTAATCGTGTTCTTCTTTTATTTAAAATTATACCAGATGTTAAACATGTGTTTACATTTTTTTTACAATACTACATTTTATGAATATAGTGGTTAAGTTAGGATGGCGATGGTTTTTCCACCACGGTAATGGACAGTTCCAATCTTCGTTCGAAATTTTTTGTTGGTAATATATCATCAGACAAATATATGTCGACTTCTTTTATACCTCTCGATACAGGTGTATGTTTAGATGAGTCATGTCCAATTAATTCATCAAAAATACACCATGGAAGTCATTTTTATCAGTTTCTTTTTTCTTGTACTGATTGATTTTCAAGATTTACTAAACTTATGCGAAGACTCGTTTCATCCGTTTTCCATAGTTGAAGAACCAGCTTTTGAAAAGTTTGGATTCCTGGATATAAACCGCCAACAAGAAAAACTTTGTCAGGTTCATTACTTCAGGAATGTTATGTCAAAACTACAGGAAAATATCTGTATTACTACTGACCTCTGGACATCTGGAGTAACTAAGAGTTACTTCGTATTAACAGGACAATATTTAACCGAAAATTTAGTGTTTAAAACGGTTTTATTAGGCTGCTGCCATTTTTCTGGAAACCATAATCCAGAAAACAGCGATTAGTGAAATTATTAATCAGTGGGGTCTAAAACGAAAAGTAAATTTTGCTGTAACTGATAATGCCTCAAATATGGTCAAAGCTATTAAAGATGTTTTGTTTTATGATGATGATTAAATTTATTGATGGAAGACGCACTTAAATGCTGTCGTGTACAAATAGATAAAATAAAAAGTCCTTTTTTTCGACAATTCTGCAAAAAAACTTATTTCAAAAAAAGTACCTTATCTTCAGAAAGGCTTTTAAAGTATTAATTACAACATAACACAGTTCCCAAACGTCCAATCCAAGACGTGGAAACTAGATAGAACTTCACCTATTACATGTTAAAAAGAATGACCGAGTTAGAAGAGGCAACCCGTTCCACATTGGTATTAAATAATACAGACTTAGACTTAAACCAAATCTAAATAAAGAACACTGGATTATTTGTTCTCAACTTTCCCAAATTTTACGGCCGTTTAAAGAAATAACAAGTACAATGAGTGACCAAAAATACTTGAATGCTAGTTCAGTGATTGTTATGGTACGCTGCCTGCAAGAATCTTGCAATAAAATTTTAGCAAACGGCATACTTGCATCCATAGTATCCGACATAGTACAATTACTAATATCAGGTTTAGCAAAAAGATTTAGAGGGATAGAACAACGTGGCACATTGTCATTATGTACATTTATGGATTCACGATTTAAAGTGCAGGGTTTTTCTGATAAAAATGAAGATAAAAAACAAAACAAAAAGTTAAGAAGTTGGTTACTTCTATAATTAACGAACAAGAAGATTGTACTATTGAAAATCAACCAGTACAAGAAAAAGAATCCAATAAATATGACTTAAGTCCATGGTGTATTTTTGATCAATTAATTGGAGATGACTCATCTACACGTACACCTGCATCGAGAGTCCATTACAACGGTGGAAAAACCATCGCCATGTATATCCTAACTTAACCACTATGTTCATAAAGTATTGTAAATGTGAACACATGTTCAAAATCTGGTTTAATTTTAAATAAAAATAGAGAAAGTTAACAAGAAGTAAAGTAGAAAAACTTATTTTTTATGCCAATTTAGACTATTCGCGATTTAATAATAACGTGTAATGTAAATGTAAGTCCGATTTACTATTTATATTATTTAGTTTATTTTTCAAATTATAGTAAATATATCATTGGTTTCTTTCACTTCAATAGATATACACATAAACGATAATAGCTATTATGTTTGTTTATGTAGGTACTCTCTTGAAACTACTTTTAAACAATCATAGTTACTTGTTTATGAAAATTTAAATTTTTAAATGCATTCATTTTTTTGGAATCCTGAGAAAACTAACAAATATTTTTAAAAAATTTAAATGCAGAATAAAAGATTACATTATTACCGAGGGTCGAAAGTCCCTTAGAATAAACAAAATGTTTTTTGAATGAGATATTTGAAATTAAAAATCACACTAAATTTTGTTTTTTTCTTTCACCCCTATAACTTATTAAAATAAACATTATAGAAGTTTTCAGGGACTTTCGGCCCTCGGTAATACTGTATTGTTTCATTCTGCGTTTAAATTTTTTTAAAATATTTATTAGTTTTCTCAGGATTCGAAAAAAATGAATGCATTTAAAAAAAAATTGGCCCGAAATTTTCCTCCTACGCTCTTAAAGATAAACTACCACGACCCACCTCTACTTCTCGTTACTCGATGTTTTGACCAGACAAACTAGACTAAACGTTGCCAAATAATTATTGTGTATGAATATTTTTTAATGTGGCGTTATTGTATGTAGTTTATTATTTCATATTGGAAAATTATTTTGATGTTTAGATTTTTAATTCGGAAATCGTACTTAAAATACGAAACGTTAATAAATTTTATTTATATAAAACGATTTCCAAAGTGGAAATCAAAATGTTATATTACAATTATTGTAAAGAAAACTTGTGGCATATTCCCAATAAAAAACAGTAACCTGCAATTTAAATCAATTTCGCCCAAATTTGATTATCTTAGAACATTGTTCAAATGCAAAAAAGACAACAGGTCAAAAAAAAACAATAAGTTTGGCAACGTTGAACATCCCCTTTTTTATCATTTCTAGGCATCAAGGTTCGGCGATATAAAGGGCGTACCTAATATACCTCTCTCTTTTTAAACAGCTGTTTTTCACTCCATCTCACGTAAGGTCCATACCGACAATAAACTTTTTCCTACACTGTATATATATATATATATATATATATATATATATATATATATATATATATATATATATATTTCTTTACCTATTTAAAATGGACTCACACAAGCAACACATTCATGATTTAAATGTTTTAGTTTTATCCACATATAAACAACCTATAGAAGGGTGGATAGATAATTTGTACGGTCCAACTGGATGCGCAGCAGGAGTTTACACAGGAATAATGAGGGTAGCGATGTGCGAAGATGAGGCTGTTGCTGACGTCGTTCCTGTAGATACCTGCGTTGCTGCACTTATAGCTACTGCTTGGGAAGTTTCAACGAAAAAATGCGAACCGTAAGTAAATAATATATTCTAAAAAGATAAAATTATTAGCAACAGCTTTCCAAATTGGGTGAATACATTATATTACGAACATATATACTCACTGGTTCTCTTGATAATTTTCTCATTTACTGTATTTTTTTTAACAAAAGACAAAATATCGTTGCTAAATTAAAAACATAATTTGAAGAATCAACCATTTCAAGTGGTAATAATAAAAAGTTTATTGATACATTCGCACATATTTATCATCCAAAGTCTTTATAACATTACTACAAAAAGCTGACGGGTCTTTATGTTCTTCGAATAAAGAATCGTAATGTTTATCGATATTTTTTAACAGGTTTTTACCAGATGAACCAAACAATATTATTTTTTAAATAATATGCCCATACTTTCCTAAAATTCTGGATGATATTTTTTACACCGAATGCAATTAAATATCACTTATGGAAATTACACAATAATTTATTACCTGGAATAGACGGACTAACCTCCTGTTTCCTCAAACAATGTGCACTTGATTGCAATAATTATTGTCCAATTAGCCTGGTTACTATTGTGGGCAAGGTCATGGAATCCAAATGTTTTTCAACCTATTGCTATGTTTCTCCTTAAACAAAATGTCATCCCTCACCAACAGCATGGATTTATCAAAGGTTTTTCAACTGAAACGTGTGCCCGTGGTTAGCCAATTGAAACCTAAATAAAATTTAGGGGGTATATGGAGAAGGAGATGATAAATTAGAGAAGAACTAGCAAAGAAGTTATTATAAAAAGAATGGCTTAGCTCAAAAGAACACAGAGACACGAAACCTCAAGCAAGAGTTCGAGCTAGCCTCACTACACTAGAATTTGGCTTTGAGATAAGGGAAAAAGAGATCTTTTAACCAAAAGAATACAATATAATAAGGCAACTGAAAATCTGGAACTATAAAAAGGGTAGGATAAGAGAATATACGCAAATGCCTAGGAAAATACTGAAATGGGCGCCAGCTAATTTCTGAAGGAAATTAACGAAAAAATAAATGAAGATAAGAAAAACAAGGAATACAGTACTATTGATATAATAACCTGTAATAATTTTTAAAACCCAAAAAAGACACTATTGACCTTGTTCTGCTATATTATAACTGTAAGCAGGAACTGAAATAAAACCAAAACTACTTGTAACAAATATATTTATAATATTAACACTAACAAACAACTCACCTATATATATATATATATATATATATATATATATATATATATATATATAATATATATATATATATAGTAAACTCTTAAATATTGGTGAAATCTGCAAAAAAAATCTTTTTTTTTTGCAGATTTCCCCAATATTTAAGAGTTTACTATTTAACTTATCTGCAAAGATTAAATTTCTTTTCTATATATATATATATATATATATATATATATATATATATATATATATATATATATATATAGAAAATATAATTACAGTAGTGGGGCTACGGTACACAAGGACCAAAAAGCCACGACAAATCCTAGATAGGTAAGGTAGGGAATATAAATACTAAAAAAAACCGTGAAAAAGAAACTACCTTACATAACAACTAATATGTGTCTAAGCAGCTAAGTACCAAATCTATGTGTGATCAAGTGTGATGAGTATGGCCAACAGACTCGGAAAAAGATATATATATATATATATATATATATATATATATATATATATATATATATATATATATATATATATATATATAATTTTAAAAACCCTGATACATAAATTTCTTTACTTTCTCTTTTAAAAAACCGCTATACAAAATCATGAACCCCTTCCCTAACAATGAATCTAATTAAATTGGTTTATAAAGATTTACCTAACTTCTTATAGGTGATACAAAACTGTAATACTGTAATAAGTACTAACCTTGGTATATGCATATACAAAGTTGTAAATTACAAGAAAAAAAAAACCTTAACCTATGAAACTTGATGTTAATGTCTGTTACAACACAACAGTTGTCCTGGTTAAGTCCCTTTAAGACTCTGGCGGTCCTTGGGCTCCGAAAAAGCGAATGAAGAACGCTGTGTTCTGGAGACAATCGTTTCCTGGATACCAATGGGTTGAAGTAGGTGTTTGGTTAAACTAATCCTAATATTAAGGTTATCCTAATCGGGTGAAATCTACAAAAAAAAATAACATTTAGAGAAACATCAAGGCACCCAAAGATGACTGTCAATACATTCTCTTACATCGAATTACCATAATAAACAAACATTTTATTTTATCAGCTTGCTGTCATCCTGTCTATTTATTGCGTCTGCGCATTTAAAGAATATCTTAGTAAATTAGGCATGGAAGTTTTTATACCGAGTAGGTAAACAAAAAAAAACAGAAAAACCCTAATTAGGTGTCCGATACATTTACAATCTAAGCTCAAGGCCACATTATACATATGAGAAAACTCGGATTTTACACTGTTAATATTTCAAAAGAAAATGAAAATATCAATAAAATGATAGGCTTATAAAATTAAATGATTTAATTGCTCACCTGGGTTTTAAATAATCGTTTCGGCAGATTTGGAAGCCGAGTTTTTCAATCAAGATTCTTTTTCAATTCTGTTACAATCAACGTATTTTTTTGTTCCAATTCCTCCCTTGATGTTCGGGGAAAATATTAAATCCAATCCCCGATTTTCTACCCGATTTTAAGACGCAAAAATGCCGGTAAGGCTTGGAGAAATAAACCTCTCTGTTTGAGTTATTGGCCAATACTGACTTAAGCCGAGCGCCTCTTTACCACTTTAGTTACACTTACGCATCGTATTGTCTATTGCCCATAAACGTTTCATAAACAGGATTCTGAGGGGTTTGAGGATTTTAATAAATAATTATATTAATTAATTATATGTTAGCAGTTGTGACTGCTACACAACCATCACAAACTTACAATACCAATTGTGTAAATAATTGTTAATCATCTTAAAATATTCGGAATCTTGTTGATGTAGTCTATTTAGACCTCTCCAAAGCTTTCGGCCGTATTCCAAAACGTTAATTACTAGTTAAATTAGATCACTATGGTATCTACGGAATATTAAAGATTCAGATTCAAAATTTACTATTCGACAGATACTTCAGGGATCGTGTTGGGAAAGATTACTCACAAGATAAGTCAGTGAAGAGTGGAGTCACATAAGGATCAGTATTTAAACCGCTACTATTTTGTATCTATATTAGGGATATTAAACTCATTGTATCCAGTAAGGTTTCCAGTTACACTAATGATACAAAATTAAATGTAAATATAATTATTAACCAACATCCACAAGGAAACAAAATTCCTGAAGCTGGCTGTATACCATGTACCACAAAAAATTTATTAAAAAAATCCTTTATTATAAAAGGTATAATCTTAAAAACCCTATCAAAAAAGAAACTACTGTTTTAAAACCATTAACAAATTACAAAATAAAAACGAAATCAAATTCAATAATTTAATCATCAGCAAAGCAGAAACGATTCTATCTCCGGTTTCCGAACACAAGCTCCGCCTATTTTAAAATTTTAAAGTTTTTATCCTTGTATTCTGTAGTGTGATGTAAAATTTTATATTTATAACATTTTATTCTTGTTGGATAGGCCACAATTGCTAAGGCCTATCCAACGCCCCTGAAGCCCCTAAATATGCTCTAGGAAGCGAAAGGACTTGGGCAAGATTTAATTAATAAAACTGTGCTGGACATCTGCCTTTTAGTTGATCGGTTTATTACAAATTTGCTTTGGTCAAGAGTTTTAACAACAATCATTACAGATAAACTAATGGAGCCTTGGGTAGGTGTCTCTCTCCTCTATTAGCTATGGATCATTTAGAATCCACACAGATCATGAAAAATTCTGAAATACTCCATTGGTTTTGCTACGTTGACGACTATTTAGTCTTCATTTTAGGTAACTCCAACTGAGCTGAGCTATTACTATCTAAAATCAACCAAATTCACCCCAACATTAAGTTACAGATGAAACTAGAATCATCCAAGTCAATTAACTTTCTTGATCTCACCATCACCAGATTAAATGACCCCTTTGATTTCAGTATCTATACTAAACCCACACAGACTGACCCCTTCTCTTCAAATCACCCTATGTTACATAAAGTGAATTACGATTCACTTCCATATTATCATGATAGTCTTTCTGGAGATATTAGAAATTTCATAAAACGTTCAGTTGAAAACATCCACGTTTCTTTTAAAGTTTAATTAATTACACAATAATTTAATCCCTTACTCATATACATCCTCTCACATTTACTTACCCAAAACATTTCATTGTCTATCTAAAGTTAAGCCACACATCTGTATTTGCTCTTATTAATCACAACACTTTAGTAACTTCTTGTTCAGTCAATTTTTCCTATCACAACAATAAAACATCACAAATCTTACCTCTAACCTAGTAGATTCACCCAATACCCATCTGTTTTCTCATTCTTCAATAATCTGTCAACGCACATTAAAAAATATTTTAATCAACTCTTTTAATTACCACACATTGATAAACTAATAGCTCAAATACCCAAAAATTTTTCAGATTCCCAATGTAATATTTTAAAATATAGGGCCCTTTTACTTAAGTTATAAGTTAAGTTATACTAGGAGTATTTAAATTAACCAATCATGATGACCACCTCCTATATCAAACACATAATTACGTACCTACATCATTCAATAAATGCCCACCCCACTTTTAACATACCTGCTTTAACCAATCATGATGACCACCTCCTATATCAAACACATAATTACGTACCTACATCATTCAATAAATGCCCACCCCACTTTTAACATACCTGCTTAACTCAGATCATCAACCTTCCATTTTTCTTTATAACATACTTTATTTTCCTTATCCATCCATACTTTTCTCAGGTTATGGTTTCGGACCTTTAGATCTTATCCTCTTGTGAAGTCTTTTCTTTTCTTATATTGACATTATAATATCACATATTATAACTTCAGCCAAAGAGAGCCACGTTTAGCCGATCAATTTTTGTCGGTTTTGCATATTATATCAACACACAATAACATTTAATTAACTTTGTCCATTCAACTTTATGTTCAGGAGCTTATAACTTATACTTCTTATATTTCTCAGATACCAAATGTTGCATTTTAACATGTAGGGCCTTTTCTAACTAAATTATAACTTAAGTGGTATACTACCAGTACATTACAAAATTTATTCTATTCACACTTCATATCGATAGCACACTCAAATACATCAATTAGCATGTTACTCTGCAACAATAAAAATTTTAAAAAAACCCAACTTCATACAAATATCAGCTTTCCATATTTAAGGTACCAAACTTTGAAAACACCTACAGGGCCTTTTATAAAAATCTTTAGTTCATCATCACTGAATTCAGATATCTCTATAGTTGGTTGCCTATCTATACTCACTACTTATACCAAACTTCAGTTTACCTACATAAATAACCAATTTTACAAATTTCCCAACGTAATTTTACGATAAATCACACTTATATTCAAGTTATACAACATATTAATGGTTGCTACTGTTATTATTAATAAAATTTGAACGTTTAATTTCAAATATTGCTGGCTACTGTCACATTTAGACACATACCTCCAGGTACATTGACTGCTTTGTTTAGACTTACATCCTAACATATTAGTTTAGTCCGTTGCTATCAACAAGTCCTCGTAGACACTTCGTCTCAGGACTAGCAACCTCCAGTGCAGTCTTACGTTGCCATGTTATCCATACTAGTTGTAACTTAAACGTCATAGTTTATAAAGTTAAAAAATGTAACTCGAATGTAATTCAACAAAACTCAAAGGGTTTTTACCCACATATTAGTGGATTTAAACATGTACATTGTAGATCCAGTAAGTATTAACCACACTTTTTGTATTAAACTTGGTCAAAATTTTAACTTTTATGTTTGATTTAATTAAAGTGTTATACTTCTGGATAGCACTGATGATGGATTATTAATAACGAAAACGTTCTGTGATGTAGCCCGATGGGGTTTTTAATATTATACCTTTTATAAACGAATTTTTAAATATATTTTTTATTAACCAACATGCTCTTCAACACGATCTTGACGCAATATTCGAATGGTCCTCAGAATGGGTACTTCCGCTTAACATTGAAAAATACGTTGTTTTAGATATTGGCAAAAATAACCCATCACTACCTTACTTTATTAATGGATATCCCTTAAACTCGGTAACCTCCTACAACGGTCTCGAAGTGATAATTATTGGTGACCTAAATTGGGCTGCTCACATAATGTCGGTATGTAAACGTGCAAACTCGAAACATTTTTGATCCGTAAATGTTTTACACGTATATCTCTAACCTCTGCAACTGTACTCAATATACGTCAGAACTATTATTGAGTTTGCCGGGCCAGTGTGGACTGTGGAGTCCAGATCTCAATGGCGATTAAATCCTATTTGATAATGTCCGGCTTAAAGCCACAAGACTGGCATACGGCCATGTAAGGACCTATTTACGAAAATAGAGTATCCATGACTAATCTTACGACATTCGAACAGCGACATTTTCGAGGTGATCTAATTATGTCCGTATGTTCCAGGTTTTAAAATATAATTTTGGGAACATAAACACCATATTCACTTTAAGTCAAGACGAAAAATCACCGTTACAAGTTAAAGAATGAACAGACTACTGTAAGGTCAAGGGTGAACTTTTTACCAAACGGAATATTTCATATCTGGAACAATTTGGATCAATACACCATATCGGCAACTAGTGTTAACTTCTTTAAAAAGAAACTTGATAGTTCTTTATAGGACTTTATAGGATTTTATTTATAGGACTATGTTATTTTAGGATTGCCTTATTTATTTATTTTGATGAACTTAATTGTAACTTTATAATTGGTATTAGTTTTATAATGATATTTTTATTTTTTGTGCATAATGGAGCTCGCTCCTCTGAACTTATTTTTTATATAATAAATAAAAATAATAACAATTATTATTATCAAAATCTTAATTATCACATTTATATGTTTCCTTTGCTTTATAGATCATCCGAAATTTCTGTTTACAATTATGTATCACAACCAGAAAATCCAGTACATTGGAAAGAACTTATAGAAATAAATCTACTCTATAATCAACAGATTCCTGCAAGTAGTTCATTATATGAAGTGTTTATCTATGAAACTGCTAACGTGTACTTGTTTTGGTTTCTTGCACTTGCTTTGCATGGTATACCGGGAGTGCTCATAGATTTTCTTGCCATATTAACTGGACATAAACCAAGGTAAGTTGTTAGTTACAAGAAAAGTAATTACTACGAGTTGTTTTAATTTTATGTGTTGAAATACTACAATTAATTAAATAAAAACTGTCAACGTTTTTTAAATATTACATTTCGAAAGTAAATTAAACGATCTCGAAATTAGCTTGCGTAGCTATGAAGTCCACATCAAAACCTCCAATATTCAAAAATTACGTTATTGGGCAAACGAGCGATAATAATGCACTGTAAGTGGTACCAAACATAATATGTAGTTAAGTTTTAATAATAAAACAACTTAATTATTTCGGAAAAGACTTGCACAATGTATATAAATTTTATTTGTAAGGGTTTTGTAGCATCATCCTTTACCTATAAGCAAATTTTATTTTATTTCTAATTCTAATGTCATTTCGCAACTATTATTCTTTTGAATAAGCGATTCTCTTTCAACAATTTTTGAATCTACATAAAATCTAGTAAAAATATCAAACCAGATTTACATTTAGTCGACAATAATCATATTCTTAAGTCCACAGATTAGTTTGAAATACCTTTTATAATTATTATACTAGGATCCAGTTCAAATAATTCTAATATGTCACCCACTTTTGATGTCAATAAAGATCATACTATCGTACTAGAGTACGGCGGCAATCCAAATGAACTTTCCAATTTTATTAATGCTATTTCCATGTATCCCAAAAATTTTGCCAAAATTATGTGCTTACGCGAAAAATTATGAAGAAAATTAAAGAAAGAGCGAGATAACTTATTTCTGTATACGGATGTAAATACCGGCCGTTAATAAAATCATTTTATTATCCAAAATTTTGCAGACCAACGTAACGAAAACTTATTAACTAGAGATTCTGTCAATCTTCGTCAAGTCTCCCAAACGAAAATCCTCATCAATTCTATAGAAAAATCATGGGTCTTGTAAATACTATTTTAAATCACTTTAAATTGCATACAGAGGAAGAACATAAGGAAGGTAAAATAAGTAAAAAAGAATTTTTCCAACAACAAGTTCTAATCACATTTTTGGAAGGTCTAAAAAAACCTCAGGATCAACCTTTTCATGCATAACACCACCGAATCTTGCTGAATCAATTCCATGAAAAACTCATGTGTCTTAAATACTATATGAAATGACATGGAATAGCACACAGACTATCAGGAAGTTGAAAGAAGTAAAAAAAAATTTTCCAACAACAAGCTCTAACCACATTTCAGACAGGTCTTAAAAAACTCCTAGGTTCAACAAATCGATGCATAAGACCACCGAATCTTGCTCTTGTTATGCAATGTATTCAGAAAGAATTTTATTTTTTTATTAACATTTAAGATTTTCACAATCTGTTTTGCAGTAAAAAGAAACAGCTTGGATATGAATGTAGATCTATATTCATGATTTATTGATTATCGAAAAGCATTTGACTACGTTAATCATCAAAAGATGATCAAAATTCGAATTGACGAACAAGACTTTCGAATTTTCTCAGAACTTTATTGGTATTAAACGGTAACAATTAAAATAAAGCACACTCGAAGATATATGAATCCAACTAGCAGTGCTACCAGGTTGTGTCGTATGCACAATATTGTACAATATTTCTCGCCCATATTATTTTATTTGTATTAAGAATCTTTATTCAGAAAATCATTAGACAGGTTTAAGGTGGAATTAAGACTAACGGAACCACCATAGACAACATAAGGTACGATGATGTTACCGTATTAATGCAAGCAACGTTTAAAAACTACAAAATATAATAAACGCAGTAGTTAGTCATGGCAAAATGTTCGGTTTACATTTAAACGTTTCCAAAACTAAAATTCCACTATTTTCAAAGATACCAACAAACGTACATTTGTATGGCAAGGGACAGATAGTAGAACAGGTAACTTCCATACATCATTTGAAAGCAAATATCAACAGCCAGTGTAATGAGAAAAAAAATCCTATCAAGAATCGAACAAGCGAGAAAAATAGTGAAAAGAACCATACTTCTTCCGAAATTTTCATCTCACATTGTGAAAAATATCAATCCGGTAACACTAAATACTAAAGATACGTCGATACATAAAAAAACATCAAACACCAGACAAAGACCAACGTGAAAACTGTTTTACAGATACAATACTTTAATAGCAACCCAACAAGTTCGAATTTAAAACGTGAGGGACAACCCTCCTGGATAAGCTTGACTTTGTCCACTATTTCCATCTGGAACCCATCGCAGAACAAATTAAAGCCATAGAATCTCAGTAAATTATTACCAACAATATATTTAATGTCTAGAAGCAGAAGAGGACTTAATTTCTGGTAATCTAGATCAAAAATATAAGAGATAAAATAGTAACCAATTTTAACCAAACAATTTCCTTATTTACACAAAATCAAGATATCACAGCCGAAGAGATAATTAAAATTAACTTAGGGATGAACCAATTTGTTTTCGATTTTAATTCTTACATATATGCAAGTTCGAAATATCTTTGACTAGATAACTCTAAATTTGCAAACAATTATACAAATACTGGATAATCTACAAATAACAATAACATTTGCAAGAATCATCAACTTTACACAACGGTCCCATCAAACCTGAAGAAATAAAATGGACTGTGCAAAAGATACACCACTATGCATAACAAATTCACTATAATCACAAGGACTTAACCAAATATTATGAAATCTTAGACATTAATGGATACTATACGAATCACACCCTTGTTTACGTTTTTCTACACTTCATTCCAATTCGTTCACGTACTTTCATTTATACTTACCTAGTCCATATCCAGTATCAAACTCAGACCTTTTTTAATATATGGATCTATCATGTAAAAGAAGCGAATATAAATCATTCAACTGCCTTCAAAATTTGCCACAACAAAATCACCAAACTAATGACTGCGGTATCCAAATTCTCCAGTTAATCAATCATGGCTCCAATCAAACTGACTACCCCCAAATGGGGGTCGATTACTATTTATAGTAAATTCTTGAAATTAAAAATAGGATGTGTGTTAACTCAAACTCAAAAAAAAATTTGGGTGACAAATTGTATTGGTAGGCGAGAAGATCTTGGAGCAATTTTTTATTTTGGCCCTTATCTGCTTTATAGTAATATCTTTACCTATTTCCTCTTGAATTTTTGTGTAAGAATGGTCACGGGCTATTTCATGTTTATGTAAACATGATTTAGAATTTAAAAGACACTCCAATTCTTTATATATAGCAATAAATTTGATGGTTTTTTCATCACCCCAACGAAACATTTTTTTAAATTAACAAGTTTAAAAATAACGATTAATTTTTATCATCAATATAACAAATCTGACAATTCTGTGCTAGCTACTGGCATGCCCGTAGCGGTAGCGCGCGTTCACACATGCCAGTGACACGCCCACGTATGCGCCTTGTATCTCACAGCATGCTACTAGCACGAAAAATCAAATTCTTTGCAATTAGCTCGCATGCCAGGAACTAGCATGCCAGTTTGGTTACAGTAGCTGGTGCTTGCTAGGTACTGGTATGCCATTGTGCTAGTAACAGGCATGTGTATCTCCGGCTTTACCGATTCGTTTAATAGCAATTTGGATTTCGATAATCTCTGCACCAACCTTATCCCCCTCTTAAAAAGCTATCTTCTATTTTTCTTTTATAATTAAACTTTTATTTTCCGCATTTTCTTTTGATGAAACATTTTTAAGTAATAATAAATCTAAACGTGTACGTACTTTAGTATAAAATTTTATACTGCTAGGTGGTATACCAGTAGTAGCATGTATCGAATTTCGATATGAAAATAAATATTCGATATGTAAATCAAAGTTTCAACTTGCACATTTCTAATTTTTCATCTAAAAAAGCTTTTTTAATGCTAATTTAACCGATTTAACGCAATTTTCCAGAAACCCGTTGGTCGAGGAATTAGCGGGTGAAGGTGTTACCAACTTAACTCCGTTATTAGTAAAAAATCAATAAAGTTTTACATGTAACTTGGGTCCCATTATCTTTTTCTTCTATACACGGTATTCCAAAACTCCAAAGACATTCCCTACATTTACCTATAGTATTTTCCGAATCCGAAATGTTCATTACGGAAACATATGACCATTTATTGTATGTGTCAATAATAATTAAAATTAGTTTAGCTCTAATAACCACTTTACTAATTTAGCCTTGGGCGGATCTGGCCGCAATTGGCAACAAACTTGACAATTATTTACCTGCTGTTTAATTTATTTAAGTAACTGTACTTTCATTGCAACAGGAACTACCGCTCGATACCTTCAATTCCTTGCTCAATAGAAAGCTCCTGCCTTCTGGCTATAAATAATCTAAGAGTTTATTTTCAGTATACTTCGGAAATCCATATCCAATAAAATTGTACACCATGACCAAAATCGAATATTTACTTGGTTCTAACCAGTTTACGAATATTGAATATACAGGAATTAAGCACTCAACCATATTTAAATAATCATATTCAGGATCATCATTTTGGTAATAGTCCTGTAAATGCAATCGTGACAAAGCATCTGCTTTTGAAGTATCCACTCCTCTTATAAACCTAAAATTGTAATCGAAACTAGCTAGAAATTAAGACCATCTTTGAATTCGACCGGCCGCCATTTTCGGTAAACTTTTATATTCAGCAAATATTGATTTCAATGGTTTGTGATCCCTTAAAATTTTGAACTTTGTGGTATGCTAAATGTTTCTATTACTGGCCAGTATTTTAATTTAGCTATGTCTTGGGATTATTAATTTTTATCGCTTTGAGTACCCATGAGTGTTTAAACCACCTTTGTTCTTAAAAGAAATTTTTTGTCATAAATTATGTTTGGGGCTATAATATTCCGTAAAAAATACGTTTTCTTTTAAAACACTCCATTCAAGTGTTAATTATACATAATCCTTTTTAAAATTTTATTGGTTTTTAGTTAAAAGCTTTCCAAAAATTAATTAGCTAGGCTTAATTTATAAAAATCCAAAATCCCATTTAAGT